CCTCCTCGTCGCCGCAGCCACCGCTGCTGCTCCTGAGCTGCAGCAAGGCACGGGGGCACACGCTGCCACCGAACAGCATCGCGAGGACGAGGGCTTAACGCAGAGATGGCGGAAGGCAGGGCGATTTAACGCCCCAGGATGCCTTCTGCACACCGCAGACTCTCAGCTGCCCCCGGGTAATCCCTTCCCTCCACCGTTTCAGAGATGCCGCAGAGATGCGCCCGGAGCGGCGGGCAGGGAAGGGACGGAGCCGGGCGCAGCGGCACCGGGAGTTTGGCCCGGCTGTCTCCAACACCCCGCTCTCCACCAGCCGGCACGGGAAAAACAGCTTTTGCCGGAGATCATCCCCTCGGCAACACTGCGAGCTTTGTGTGCGGGATGCCGGGAGCTGCCGGCTCCCTCGCTGCTGTGCCGGGCTGACCCCGAGGAACTGCCCGTCCCAGGACGCGGGGCACAGGCGCACTCAGGGGATGGTGACTTCCCAGAGCCTGAGGCAACGCACTTCCCTGAGCAGAAGCTTTGGCAGAAATAATCCTCATACCTGCTAGGAAAGCCTTTATCTCCCCTCTCCCCTCCCCAGACATTATCCCCCAAAGTAAAGACGCCTCTGTCATCCCTTCTCACAAGGGACGGATGATCATCGGAAGTGCGAACCAAGCGCTCTCTCCATCAAGGCAAACAAACCTGTGTTTTCCACGGGGAGGGATAAGCACATCACAACATCCCAACAGTGAAACACCACCGCAGGAGACAGAGAGACACAGCAGCCTGTTACTGCCGAGGTGACGCCGTACCGGGGCTCCTGCACAGGGAGGACCCGGGGTCTGGGTCAAGCCGGCACGCTCCGAAGCCCAGCTGAGCAGCCGGCGGCCACGAGCATTCAAGAATCATAGAACGGTTTGGGCTGGAAGGGACCTTTAAAGGCCATCTAGTCCAACCCACCGCCATGGGCAGGGACATCTCCCACCAGCCCAGGCTGCTCAGAGCCCCGTCCAACCTGGCCGGGAATGTTTCCAGGGATGGAGCATCTACCACCTCTCTGGGCAACCTGGGCCAGTGCCTCACCACCCTCAATGTAAAAAAATTCTTCCTTATATCTAGTCTAAATCTACTCTCTTTTAGTTTAAAACCATTACCTCTTGTCCTATCGCAACAGGCCTGATAAAAAGTTTGTCCCCACCTTTCCCGTAGGGCCCCTTTGAGTCCCGAAAGGCAAAGAAAAGCACGCTATCACAAGCCCCATAGCGGGGGCCCTGCGGCCGCGAGCGGCAGTCGGGCACGAGAAGGCAGAGGATGCTCAGGACGGCCCATCCGGGACCCGCGGTCCCCCCACGTGCTGCCCCGCACCGCGCAGAGGCCGTCCTCCTGCCGACAGCCCTGGGGGCTCACAGTCGCCCTGACACTGCCCAGTCACCCCACTCTGCTGGGAGAGCAGATGGAAGGGGAGGTCTCCTCCTGCCCCTGTCCTGATAACCTCCAGCTGTTGTTGCAGAGGTGCCGGAGCTTCAAAGCCTCCTCCTGGCAGCACGAAAACAGACATAAACACCACGCTCGGCCGCAGACACCAACCGTGACTGCCCCCGGAGGGGAGGGCAGGACAACAGGGGGGAGCTGGTCCCCAAAAGGCCAAGGGTTAACGGGGAGCTGCGCTCAGAGAGCATCAGCGGTGCGAGACGCAAGGACAACCCAGAAACAGCACGGGACCTGCTGGCAAAGGAAACCCCCTGCATTTTCAGCAGATCCTTCACAGTTTCTCCAGAAAAGGGGTTTAGCAGCATCGAGCTTTTGCATCTTTAACAGCAGCTACACAGCACTGACACCCGGCCGCTAACGCTGGGAAAAAGAGACACCTGTGCAATGAAACCTCCACCACCGACCGCCCCGGGGGAGGACACAAGCCCAGCACCACCTCAGCTCCTGTGCCAGAGCCAAGGGCACACGGGGCACGTGTGGGGCAGCTCCCACCAGCCCGCAGCCCGCTCTCCGCCGTGCCGGGAGGCAGCCCCGAGCCCCGCACGGTCTGCGGGGGAAGTGGCAGAGGGCAGTTTAACCGACCAAATGATTCAACCAACAACATCTCGGTTCCTCAGGGTCAACCTGCCACAGCCATCCCTGGGCGCAGCCTCTGCATCCCTCGGCCGGGCTCGGGGACAGCAGGAGGCTGCAACCGGTGGTTGCAAAACAGCACAGCGACAATTCTGCACTCGCGTAGGCACAAGCCAAGGAAGGCAAACTGACTCTTCCGAGCCTGCAGCGCAGCCCCCTCCCGCCGAACTGATTCCATAAAATCAACGTTTCGTCCAAGTGAGAGAACAGCCCTCAGCGCAGCCCGCAGCCCCGAGCGCTGGCATTTGAACCATCCAGGCCATTAACCACAAAAAATGTGGCAGGCATTATTCAAAACTCGCAACTTCTCCTCCCTGACCCCACCCTGGTTTTGGCATTCGGAGCAGACAGCCGAAAAGCAGAAGGTGCACGCTGGGTCTTTACCTTGGGTGCCGGCCTCGGGCTCCGGCGATCCCGGCGGCGGCTCGCAGAACTCCTTTAGTGGCGAGCAGGTCGGCGTTTCTGCTTCAGGGGTCTCAAAATTACCTTCGGAGTCCGAGCTGCCGAGGGGGGGGAAAAGAGTGAGGAATTACCGCTTTCAAGGCTAGCTCTGAAATCCTCCACACTGCCTACACATCCCGCCAGACCGGCTCCCGGGCCGGCCGGCCGCGGGGGACATCCCGCGGCGGCCGCTCTCTCCTGTCCAGCGGGACGCGCTAGCAAACGGAAAAGGGAGAGCAGGTGAAACAACATCCCGAGCATCCCCCTGCGCGCCCCCGGCCCTCCTCTCCGCCGAGCCTCCGGGATCGCTTCTCTCGGGTCTCTCCCGGGCTGACCGAGCATCCACCGCCGACCTCCACGGAGGCGGCGGCCCCGCCGGCACCTTCCCCCGCA